GACTGTCCACATCCATCCTGATCAGAAGACATAACAGTGTATAGATAGATATCTACCACATGCTACGCACTCATATACATGCTGTCGGGTTTTTTTCTGTCGATATCAGACCATGTGGTGGTGCTAACCGCATATACATATATGTATATATATATATATATGTATACACTGAGTATATGTATATATATGTATATATATGTATATATATATATGTATATACTCGCTGTAAGCTTGTGAGCTGAGAAAACAGAGTGCATGAGGGTAAGTTTACTGTGAGGGGAGATGTTAGGTGGCCACGCGACACTGTCGCTTATGCTGGGTGTGTGTGTGGGTTAGATCAACGTGTAGGATATCTCATGTGGCGTTAGTGGTGTTCGTCATGCAGCCACGAGTCTGTTACTAGAGACGCGTGGATGTGGGGTGTGGGAGCGAAGAATGGCGTAACACACGCACGCACGTACACATACGCACACACACGCGCGCGCACGCACGCACACATGCACGCACACACACGCGCGCGCACACACGCGCACACACACACACACACACACACAAAGCACGCACACAGACGCACGCACGCGCGCGCGCGCACACACACACACACCCGCACACCCGCACGCACGTATGCACACACACACGCACACACACACACACACACACACACACACACACACACACACACACACACACACACACACACACCACAACACCCACACACACACACACACACACACACAGCACGTTCTATTCATGCACGTATCATTTGCCTCAGTCCGCAACTGTTCCTTATAAGGATGGCTGGAGATATCATCGTAAAAATGTTTACGCAACTGAATCTGCCTCCCCAGTCGGAGAATTTTTATAATTCCACAGACTCCCACCAGATGGCAGGGGAGTCACGCCGGAGAACGAGATTCTCTTATTCACAGAGACTGCATATGCCTGAGTCGCTTATATATATATATTATATATGTATAATTTAGAGCTCGAGGGAAAGCGCGCACTTAAATCAAAAATCAAAAATCGATTGGAAATCACGTATCGATTAGTGACATGCTTCCCATTATCGAAGAGTTAACTTCTTTTTTATCCGCGCGCGAAATATCGTCTGCTGTGACATCACGAAACAAGTGCCGATCTACAAGACTTCTT